AAGGAAAAAAAAAGGAAAAAACCCCAAAAACTTCGCGCCTCCCTCCGAGTACGGGGACTGTCCCCCCGGCCATCGGAGCGGCCCCAAAATGGTAACTTTGCGCTGTTTGGCGAGGAGGAGGAGGATGGTTTTACTGCAGTGGTGGTGCCGGGGGGTGGGGGAGCCCTGCGGGCTCCGGGAGCCCTCTGGCTTTGTACGCTCCGTCAGGGACGTTGAGGGGGGGCAGACTGCGATATTAATCCATTAAGAGACAAAGAACAAATTGCCTCACTTTAAAGTAAAATGCTTCGGCTAAAGAAGGTGGGTGATGGGTCTTCGAACACCGAGTAGCCACTTCAATTAATAAGAGTGGGTTGTTTCCCCCCGCCCCTCCCCGATAGTATTGATTCAGCGTGTGCGTGAAATGCCCGATGTGGGGCTGTGTCCGTGCGTCCCCCCCCTTGTTTTTTGAGTCGCTCTCGGTTCCGTGGTGAGTCGGTCGCTGCTTGATCCCCGTTAGAGAAGTACACAGTTTATCAAAGGAAGTTGGGGGTGGGCGGGCAGAGAAAACAATTATTCACATATAGACAGCGAGGAGGGCTCGGAGGACAATGTCTCCGTAGCGATTATTTCCAGAAGAGGAAAAATCGCTCGTTTGATGCGGGTGGGGTGGGGAGGGATGCAGGGAGTCTAATGTACGTGTTAAAAAAAAGGGTGTGGGGGGGTGTCGAGAGGAGGAAAGGAAGGATAGAGAGAGAGGGAGAGAAAAGAAGAATAGAAGTAATGCAGTTCCAGACATTTTGTGCTCTAAAAGCTTTCCTCCTCCTCGTCCCTCCCTCCCTCCCCCCGCTACTATCTTCGGTGATCATTAGCATAGCGCCGAGTCGCGATCCTAATGCGAATTAAGCACTTGGGCAAGTTGAGGAAAGTTTGGATGGGTAAACTTTGCTATGAGGGAAGAAGGTGGGGTGCTAAAACTGGCAGTACGTGTGGGGAGACGTGTGGAGCATGACAGCCGGCCGTTGTTTTTCCCCTCAAACCAGCTAACCTCTGCAATTAACTGCTGGAGACAAACCCTGTGTTTTAAGCCGAAAGGTGTCGGTTTGGAGTCAGCACCATTTATTAGGAGCGTTAATAAGCTCCCAGCAGCAGACAGGGATCTTCTGGGGAATGCGCATTGTGCGTGCCCACATCTTATCCTTTACATTACCCCTATAGATGCGGAGGCGCTCGGGCACTGGACGTGCAAATATCATTTTGCTGGGACTATTTTCGAAACATTAATTCTGTTCTTTATTTAATCCAAAAGCAGGGTTCCCCTCCCCCCCCCTTTGCTGCCTTATTGTTGGTTTACATTTTCTGAAAAGGCGACTGGTGTAACCTGTGGAATTTGAAATGCAAATAAAAGCCTGTGGGAGTTGAGGCAGAACAAATCAGCATTTATAAAGTGAAAAAGATTTAATGTCTTTGAAACCACTGCGAGATTTTTTTTTTTTTATTAAGAACTGAATCGTGACGTCAAGTCGTTGGGGCAAGATTTTTTTTATTTTTTTTTTAATGTCTGAAACGTGGGTATACGAAGTGCTTACAGGAAAAACAGATTACAAGATTAACATCTGTTAACATGATCGTTTATCTCCAGCCAAAAATAGGTCAGTCCTTTCTTAAGGAAACACGATTGCTGGGCGCATGATTAAATAATGAAATTAGGCTGATGAGTTCATAAATTAGACGCTGTGTCGACGTGCGTTAGGATCCGACCTGTGACAAAAAAATGTATTTCGAGGTCCGCCGGAGAGCGATGCGGGGTCAAAGTCTCTTTTTGGGGAGAGGCGCAACTCTCTCGCCGCCTCTTCCTCCTCCCCTCGCTCCCCATCTCCGGGCGCTCCCCGCCGCCCCCCCGCTCGCACCCAGCGTCTCCCCGGCTGCGGAGCCGAACTCTTTCCCTGCGAGCGGAGAAGTTTCCTCGGCGGGGAGGGACGCGGGGGGTGCTGCGGTAGGAAAGCGGCGGGAGGGGGCGGTGGAGGAGGTTGGGGAATGGGGCCGGACGGACGCCGAGCCCCCGCCCGCCGGCGTTCCCGCCCCGCCGGGGCGGCCCCAGCCCGCGGGCCCGCCCCCCGCCACCGCCCGGCCCGGCCCGGCCCCGCTCGGCCCCGGGGTGTTGGGGCGCGGCGAGGTGGGTCGGGGAGCCGCCGTGCCCCTGCCTTACCCCCTGCCCGGCGCTGCGCGCACCCCCCGCCCAGCCTCGGTGTTGATGTCCTCTCGCCGATCCCCCCTCAGCGGAGTGGTCGGGCTTATTTTGGAAGTGGGTGCAAAACTGCCTTGATGAAAAATCTCCTCGGGCCTGGCGGAGCCGTCGATATTTTGATTTTTGTGTGTAATTTTTTTTTTTTTTAATTTTGGTTTTTTTGAGGAGGTTTCACAGATTTCTAGAGATTTTCTCCTCAAAACCGTGGGCTGGCCGCTGTGCTCGGGGCTGGCTCCTCGGCGGCCGGGGAGAGGTCCCAGAAGCCCGCCCGGCAAAGGGCCACTGCGCTTTGGCCCCGTGCCACGGACTTTATTTCATGCTTGCTGCACTAAATGAGTTAACAGCCAAAGGGTTTTTCATTAACTCGACTTGGCAACCGTGTATTTCGTTGCCTTCTCCCCCTAACCCAAAAAAAAAAAAAAGAAAAGAGAAACGTGTAATTTTAAGCAAAAGCTGAATGGCATAACATGGGTTGATTTGAGAGGAGGAGTTTTTCTCAAGATGTGTCAGATTTCCCTTGTGTCCTCATCCCTGCGCGTGACGAGTGGGTAGGTTGATAGCCGAGAGTTTTATTTTGGAGGATGTGCGTGTCTTGATTTTTGACCATTGCTTTCCTGCGGGTGTGTTAAGGCCCTGTGTGTCCTGGACCAAGCAGGAGGATGCTGACCCTGAGGGAGGGCAGTGACAGCTGCCCCCCGTCGGCCTCGAAAGTAGATGGGACAGGGGGAACTATGTATGTACACATTGGGGAGCACGCTGTTGCATGCGGGGCAGGTGGATGCAGGGCAGGGAAGGGTGTTGTGGCAAGCAGGGTGTGTGCACACGTGCAGGGCAGGGATGGGGTATATTGCATTGCTGCACGTGAGCCAGACGTGTGTGCCTGTAGGTCCTGCTGGGTATGTGTGTGCACAGCAGAACGGGAGTCCCATGGGTGCCGCAGTGTGAGATTGCTTCACTGAGGCAGGTGCACGTGTGTGTGGCGTGGGGTCTGTGTCCCACAGGCAGGTGCGGGTGGTAATGTGCCTTGGGTGCTGGGACAACCCCCCTGTGCTTGCTCGCCAGGCTGGCTGCTGCTAGTGGGCCAAAAATAACTGTATTGTAAGAGGTGTTTGGTATTTTGGGGGAAGCAGTGCCAGGGAGGGTAGTGGTGATGGGAGCAGAAGTTTCATCAAGATAGGGAGTATTTTGGTAATTTTGCTCAGGTAGTTTTGTCTGCGGCAGCCGGCCAGGATGTGTTGTCTTTCAGTGGATGCTGCTGCTTTGTTTCCCACCAGCGTGTCCTTTGCTTCAGTCACGCGAACCCACAGTCGGTCTGGTCATGTGCTGCTCTGTGTACCCCATTGTGTCCCACCTAGGTGGGCTGCAGTGGTTTTTGGAGCTGGTGAAACTGCAAGCTGGTTGCATAGGAGCACCAGTGGTGTAATTAGTATCATGGTGTGGTTATTGCAGGAGACATCTTTAGTTTTACAAGAGTAGCTGCCATAGCTATCTTGAATGCGGTCTGTACAATTAGGTAATTTGTGTGAGGCTCTGTGTTACTGGTGTGTGCACACCTTTTCTACCTCCTGGTGTAAACTGGTTTTTAGATATCTCTAAAAATTCTTGCCTGGGGTTTGCTTTCAAGCCTTTAGTTCATATAAAACTGAGTGGTGTTGAAGTGACATCTAGTTAGTGATAAGTGCTATGTGGTCTGTGTGAAAAACAGGGCATTATAACCCTCCTCTAAATTGTTCAGTTTTATATGCAAAGGTAATGCCTACAGGGGGAAAAAAAGAAAAAAATAAAACATCAGTGAGAATAAGAATTGTACTAAAGAATGGTCTTAAACATGTTTAAAGAGAGGAGTGGTCTTTGTTAGCACAGCCCCTGTCTAACTGTGTCTGCCTGGAATGGAGCAACAGGAGTGACATTCAACTTTTGTAGATTAAAGTTTCCCTGTGACAATGACTAATGTCTTTGCTTTAAAAATTAGGTTAATGATATGATTTTATAGTTGGTCATAGTATTGTGCTGTCACCAAGATTTAACAATAGCAATTATCAGTACAGAACTATTCACTGAAGGGATTGAAAATGATTGTGTCACCATTCCGAATCTGTGCCTATTGAATTGATCCCTCATTTTAGCAAAGGAGGGTTTTTATGTCTTAACACTTTACAGATCACCTTAAGAAGCTGTGTCCTTGGCTTCAGTTGACTGAAAAATGAGTTATCTTTAAAATGCACCCTGCTGTGGGTGTTTGCACAAGAAGAGTATCTTGGAAGAGTATTGTCATAGAAATTATGTAGTCACCAACTCTTGCAAACTTTGGGCAATCTGTTTATTTGGATTTCTTTGTTAAGGCCTTTGTGTGCAGGTGACTTCAACAGTTATCTGTAGTTACCTGTGATCCTCACTGGTGAGTTTTATGCTGAGGTCCCATCTAATGAAGGGCATCTATATTTAGTGTGATCCAAAACCTGTCAGCTTTGAAGGCCTCACTTCTGTGAAGACTTAAATTTGTTCCAAGAAGTTATAGGATTTCTCTGGGATTACATACAGTATGCAAAATGATCCAATGGCTAAGATTTTGTGAGACTAGTGATGAAGTCTGTATATGTGTACTTAAATTGGAAATCTGGATTTGACTATACTGTTTCTCAAAATAGAAAGCTGAAATGCAGAGTGCTTGCGTTTTGCAGGAAGCAACTTGTCCAAGCTTGCAAATTTTACAAGAAAATGTGCCTGTTTAAGTTTTTGAGACACAAGTATGAATTTGTAGATGCATACCTTTTAAGCCTGAATAGGCATTCGATTTCTGCAGTGAAGAGGGAAATGGACTTAGTGCTGTTTTTCACATAAGTATGATGTTCCTCAATTGGGTAAAAGTGTCTACAACTACCCTGCAAATTGACTTGTTGCTTGTGAACCCAGTGCTGCCCCCTAATAAGCACACTTGCCACTCCCATTGCATACTGGGAGTTGTGTGAAGGTGATGCTGTGTGGAATTACAGTTTCTGTATGCAAATCTGAAATCCTATAGTTCTATCAGCAGTTAATCAGCTAAAACTTACTATAGTAATTTGTTTTTTTTCTGTAGCCATAAACTTAATTCAGATACCTCATCACAGTGTGGCAAAAAAAAAAAAAAAGGAAAAAAAAGAGTCTCATTTATTTGATTAGTTATTTGCAATACAGATATTTGAAACTTGGAGCAACATTGTTTTTTCAAAGCAGACATCTTACATGCTGCAAATATTTATACACCAGTGCTAGGATAAAGCTGTTCTGATTCAGACACTGAAGGCAAAATTCTGTTGTTCAATTACTCACTATAACTGCACAGAAACTCTCTGGGTGTCCCCAGTACAGTACTTGGGAGTTAGAACAGCTTAACAGATAGCAGTATTTCTTGACTGTCACTTCTACGTTAGAAGTAAATGAAACTTCCTTTCCTTTTCCAGCTGGAGTGATTCTAGTAAATATTATGTTAGTGAGCCTGCATTAAAACCTGCTAGTGGATTATGGTCTAGGTAGTTAACACTGCCATGGCTTTCATTAGGATGATGACTTCATTGCAAATGTTTACTTTCATTACCTAACTGTTAGTCAGCAAATGTTCGTTCTCTTGATCTGCTGAACCTGCTTAGCCATTTGAGCTAGTGAGATCTGTTTGGTTTTTTTTTTTTTTTAATGTGATGATTACTCAATGCTGGTTGTTCATTTTTTGATGTTGTTTACATCTTGGTTATCTATAGAGGCCCATCAGCGTTGTTACACACTTCGTGTTAGCAGTTTCTCCTTGTGTTCCTGAAACTGTATTACAGCAACAGCGCTTATGCAAACGGACTCAGGGCATTAAGCGTGTGTTCTGAGATTAAATTAGTGTGTGGATGGACAGTACTTGCATCTCTTAAGTTGCTACCGAACTATTTATTGCCCAATAAATTCTAGCAGGTATAACAGGAGTAGCACACAGCTGCTCTAAAATAAGTTGTTTGATTACCGCTCCCGAGTTGTGAGCTAACATTGCACATAGTGCCCGTTGCAGGGACACTGGAACAGGGGCTGCTGAAGACTCTGGTCTAAACTGTTTTGAGTCATGGAGGAACAGAGGCTCTTTGCTCTTGAAGATTCAAGACTGCTTACCTTCTGATGACTACTTAAAATTAATTTTTGCTAACCTTTCATTTAAGTCATTGCTTATGGGAAAGAACTTAATTTGTATCAGCAGGATATTGCGTAGCTTAACGCTTGTTCAACAAAATCCACGTTTCATTAAGGGCTGTTGCAGAAGCTGTAGACCATGCATTGCTGTTGTACACTTGTCCTAAACCCAAGGTAACTTAGTAGGGTGACTTTGAATTTACAGTGGTGTGTGTGGGGATGAATTTAGCACACAGCACTTAGCTCCTAATTAAAGCTTATAGTATTACATCCTAATCAGGGCACTCTTAGAATCTCTAAGAAATTACTTTTTTCTTTGTCTGCTCTTCTCCCTTTTCTTTCTTGCCATCTCACTGTATGGTGTTGGGAGCTGGCTACTCCATGTTGGGGCTGTCATATTTATGTCCCAAAGGAGATGTTTTCCAGCAGCGTGCTCCAAATTGCAAAGTAGAAGAATTTTGTGGCTCTCCAAATCTTTAAGGCCAGTTTCTAAAATGATCTAGCTTTTAATCTTCTTTTCGAAGTATAACAGAAACTACAAAGCATATGTAATTACAATTTGTAGCTATTTTTAGACTCCTGACATGTTTCATTTGTATTATAATGATAAAAACAAATACTCAGCACAGAGGCTAGATAGACAATTTTCAAACCAACAGCATCCGCTCCAGCTACACTGTGTGTATTTCGTACGTGTTTCCTTTGGTCCTTTTTTTGTTTTTCTCTTTTGGCTGGGAGTATACCGAAACCCCAGTATGTCTCAGTACATGCTGGGGGGTGCAGAGAAAACGAGAGCTCTCTCTATCGGGCAGGTCCTGTTGGGAGTGTGTGCTGAAAACCGGATCGTATGTCAGTGAGTTTTAGCGTATTGCACAGACACACACAGACACACACACACACACACACACACGCACGCATGCTTTGCTTTTCTGGCAGGTATAATAAAGGAAGAACGGTGAGTTGGCTTGTCACTATTTTTACACTGCATAGAAATGCCTGTGTTATTACGGGGATGAAGCTGACTGAATAGTAATTTTTCCTTGTCTTTTAAAAAAAAGATGGTGAGCAATGAAGTGGTGTTAGTTTTCAGTAAAGAAAGAGGGAGAGGGGATGGTGAAAACTGAGGTGTTTTAATCACAATTGTAGCCTAATTTTAAAATAATCGTGTTTATTTATTTAAAAATAGATTTGGGAATGAGATTAGCCATGTTCTTTGTTTTTAAAAGGGTAACGTGTGTGCACTCACCATATGGTAGCATTTAACCCATATTGTATGAGCTGACAACAAGTCACATTTATACTCTGATTTATTTCAGTGTTTCAGAATGTTCTTTTTCTGAAATCTAGTACAATAAATGATGCATTTAGGATTGTGCAATGTAATTGTCTTTAGCTGTTTTGC